AAAAAAAAAAAAAAAAAAAAAAAAAAAAAAAAAAAAAAAAAGAATGCAGCTAATAATTATGCGCCCTCTAATTCATTTGGGGTTTGAGTGCAGCTAATAACGAATGACAAATTCAAAAGCGTGAAGCACAGGGTTGTTGCAAACAAGGAGGGGCCGCGAGTGTCAGTGGCTGGAGTCTTTTCGACGCTTTCTTTTCCAACCTCGAAATTGTATGGACCCATCAAGGAGCTGTTGAGTGAAGATAACCCTGCAATATACAGAGAAACCACTGTCAGAGACTTTAGTATCCAGTTTCGTTCAGTCGGCCTTGGAACTTCTACTTTGCAGCATTTCAAGCTGAGTGAAGCAGATGCTTAATTCTGGGTGTTCTCTGTTTCATTGAACTCGTAATCGTAAATCTCTGTAGCTCAAAAACTAAATTGAAGCTTGTTCCATGGTGTCATGGTCGATGTAAGATTGTAAGCTGAATATGAATAAATTAAGACTTAGCTTGATATTATAAAAACAAAATAGATGAGTCGTTTTAAGTAACAATTTTGATTTGATTTTTTTGAACCACAAACTTAGAGTGGTTTATTTGAATTAGCAATTGGCTTATTTGAATCAATAATGGTGAAGCAACGTAAGAGAATCAATAATGGTGAAGTAACGTAAGCTCTTATGAAAGATAGAACTTTAGCGTGGTCGTAAGACAACAATTATGTAGCACTTGTTCTAACTTAATAAACAAGTCAGTTGTGTGAAAAACGAATTTTGAAGACAATTTCAACAAATGATCGAGTATCGAGTCATGTTTGACAGAAAATAAAAAACTAAGCACAATCTAAAAAGCTATGTTATAGCCTAAAAATGAATAAGTAACATTCATAACATAATATAATCGAGTAAGAAGAATTAACAACTAATAGTATTTTTAGGTATGGATGGTATATACACGATATGTTGTAGACAATACACCTAAGACAAATATGATAAAAAATATCTGACATGCGAACATAAATGACCATAAATAACTTGACTTGTATAAGCATGATCCAAATCGGACACCTCTTAATCAAGTGAAATGACCATAAATAACTTGACTTGTATAAGCATGATCCAAATCGGACACCTCTTAATCAAGTAGTGAAATGACCATAAATAACTTGACTTGTATAAGCATGATCCAAATCGGACACCTCTTAATCAAGTGAAAAAATGACCATAAATAACTTGACTTGTATAAGCATGATCCAAATCGGACACCTCTTAATCAAGTGAAAAGGAGTTATTCATATCCACTCATTCAGTCAAACTTGGAAAATTCATTACCAGAAGAAAACTAGAACCTCGAACGAAGCTTCCCATCATTAACAGTATCCCTTCTGCATTTATATGCAACAGCTGCCACCACCGATCAAGGCACTTCACAATTTTGAAAAGATTTAAGTTCTTTTCATTTGAATTCAATCCGTTCCGTCGAAGGCAAGAGAATGGACAATGACGGTCGCAGCCTTAGGATCAACGGAGTCGATGGAATCAACCTCACTCCGTTATCCAAGGCCGACGAAAACTACCACCGACCCACTGAACTCAAGGCTTTCGACGACACTAAAGCCGGCGTTAAAGGCTTAGTCGACGCCGGGATTACCGAAATTCCCCGTATCTTTTACCACCCACTGGAGGAAGATGACTCCGGCGAAACTCAAATCCGTATTCCAGTGATAGACCTCGAAGGCGTCGCCAAAGATTCACTCAAACGCAAAGACATCGTTGAACAAATTCGTGAAGCTTCAGAGGAATTGGGTTTTTTCCAGTTGATTAACCATGGAATTCCGGCGAGTGTTCTTGAAGAAATGAGAGAATCTGTTCGGAGATTTCACGAACAAGACACGGAAGTGAAGAAACAATTCTATACACGGGACCTCACGAAGCCATTGGTTTACAATAGTAACTTCGATCTATACTCTGCAGCGACCACCAATTGGAGGGACACCTTTAGCCATGCCAGTGCTCCAAACCCTCCCAATCCACAGGACTTGCCGGAAATTTGCAGGTATATGTGCTGATTTTGAACCAAAACAAAATACTCTGTTACTAACCTCTGTTTTGTGCAGAGATATTCTGGTGGATTACACAAAACGGGTGATGGAGATTGGAAAATTACTGTTTGAATTGCTGTCGGAGGCTCTCGGTCTGAACCCAAATTACTTGAACAACATAGGCTGCAGTGATGGGCTTGCATTTGTATACCACTATTACCCTGCATGCCCACAGCCGAAATCGACCATTGGCATATCCGAGCACTCTGACACTGACTTCATCACGGTGCTGTTGCAAGACCACGTCGGCGGCCTACAGATTCGTCATCAGAACAAATGGATTGACGTGTGTCCTGTCGCCGGAGCGTTAGTCGTCAACATCGGAGATCTTATGCAGGTAACTCTGCAGCATCCTCCCTGTTACGACGCACATATGGATCGCCAAACTATGTCGGACACCCTTTAATTAAATTGGATTTTTTGATGCAGCTAATAACAAATGACAGGTTCAAAAGCGTTAATCATAGGGTTGTGTCGAAACATGAGGGTCCGAGAATATCAGTGGCGGGCATTTTTTCGACGCTTGTTTTGCCAAGCAACAAACTTTATGGACCCATCAAGGAATTGTTATCGGAAGAAAATCCTGCAATATACAGAGAGACCACCGTCAGAGACTTCAGTATCCAGTTCCGGTCGGACGGCCTTGGAACTTCTACTTTAAAGCATTACAAGCTGAATCAAGCAGAGGTTTAAATTGCAAGGAAATGGACGAAGATCATAACAGTTCGTTTGGTTACGTGTTCTCTGTTTTTGCAGAGAGCTTTCCGTTTTTATCATCCATTGTAATAAATTTCTTATAGTAGCACGTTTGTATGACTTTACGTTAAATTTCAATAATAAAATTGTGTATCAGATTCTTATCCCAAATCCCACGAATATTTTACCGGCCGCCTGAGTTCGGCGAGTCCCCTGTTCCCGGTGAAGCGCAAATGAGCATTCCTGCGATAGACCTCGAAGGCATCGACAGAGGTTCATCCAAAATTGTATCAGTTATTTTAATCCTTGAATTCATTTGAAAATTTGGTGTTGAATGGCGTCTGGGTGAGATGCCAATGACCTGAAGATTGTGATGCAATTTCCATTTGTTTAATCTGAAGTCAATTCCCGAGTGCTAAACTGCGACACGTAACCATGTAAAGACCTTCCTCTCATATTTCCTCTCCAATTCCCCTTTTGCTCATTCAATCTTTCGATTTCCCAACACGCCGCTACGCCATGAATGTCCATCAGCTTTCTGCAAAACCACTTTCGAGTCCCGGTAATCCCTCATCAAGTTCTCTGTAATTTCGAAATCGATTCAACTCCTCGATCTCGTTCTGTGTAATTCTTTTGCCGCAACTTTTGGGGGTTTTGGGTACTCTGATTTTCTCGATTGCTATCTGGTGGAAGGGCGTTCTTGAGTTTCTTGGATGGTTGCTAAAGTGTTTAGAGAGTTATGAGAAGATGGGTGATTCAGTGGATCGGATTTTGAGAATTGGAGGTTTCTGCTGAATTTGGGAAAGAAGAAGATGAGGGATTTTCCAGGGAGTCCTGGGACTATGACGGGGCTAATTCTGAGGATTTTGCAGTTCGTTTTTGCTGCTGTCTCTATTGCTTCTATGGCTTCGACTGCTTACTTCTTCAAATTCACAGCTTTTTGGTTTGTGTTCTTTGCTCCCTTTTTAGTTCCTCTGTTTCACTTGAATACAATCTGATGATTCTCCATGCATCTAATATAATCAACCCATGAAACTACGGTCAATCTTGAGCCATCCCCTGTGATGAAGCAAACTGGTTGTTTATTATTTGCACCACAAGCTGTTTAAAAGGCTCAAACTGTAGCAATTTCATATCATATAGATGTTTCATTGTACCTTTCCTTGCCATAAGTACTGAAAATGACTATCTTTCGACAATTTGGATGATCAAAGTTCAAGATTTGTGCTTCCGGTTGATTGCTGACAATGACCAAAAGTATCCATCTGCATAGCATTGAAAATCAGTCTACAAAAATGGAGAAGAAAACATGTGCAGTTCTCTAATTGGATATTCTTGTAGATTACCTATTTTCTCCCACCATAGCCATGAGACCAGTCCATCTTGTTGCAATATTCTCTGTGATATGAATCCCAAAACACATAGGATTTCACATAAAGAATACTTCTTGTTCGATGTTTGTGCAGCTACCTGATAGCTTCATTGGGGTTGCAAATCACCTGGAGTTTTGTGCTAGCATTAATCGATGCCTATGCACTGGTAAAAAACAGAGCCCTCAAGAACTCTCTGCTCATTAGCCTCTTCGTCGTCGGTGATTGGGTAAGTCTCCATTAAACTTGTTCACAGACTTTTTTATGCACAACTCTAAGTTCACGTATTATGTTGCAGATTACAGCAACATTGACACTCGCAGCAGCCTCTTCTTCTAGTGGGGTAGCAATACTGTATTTCAACGACTTGAACATTTGTGGTTTTATTGGGGAATGCCAAAAATACCAACTCTCTGTCGCCTTTGCATTCCTCAGCTGGATAACTGTTGCCACTTCTTCTCTTATCATGGTCTGGCTATTGGCTTCCGGTTAAACCGTTTGTTGTACACGCAATTTCAAATGTTGCACAGTTTTTATTTCATCGATTCCAATTTCGAACTATCAAATCCTACTGATTTGATCCATTTTAATCTTCTTCTTTAACATTTAAGTTTTTCCCCTTCATGAGATAAAATCTCGAATGGTTTTTTTTTTTTTTTTTTTTTTTTTTTTTTTTTTTTTTTTTTTTTTTTTTTTTTTT